ATGCCCGTGGGGCGGCGGCGGGCTGGAGGAGGCGGCCCCACGCGGCACGGTCCTGGGTCATCGGGGGGGTCGGAACTCGGGCGCCTGGGTGCGGGCCGTCCGTGGGCTTTCGCGTTTCAGAGCCTCTCCTGGGCTTCTTCCGAGGGGTTCGAGAAACAGTGTTTTCCGCCTGGACCTCCGCGCCTGGGTGGGGGGTGTGAGGAACAAGCCCCAGCACCCCCCAGGCGGGGGACAGACGTCTCTGGGCATCCGGGAGAGACAGGGCGTCTCTGTCTCGCCACCCACAGGTCCGGCGAGAGCCCCCAGCCCGCGCTGGGAGCCTGCAGAGTAGCGTCAGGCATGCAGTGTGAGGGAACCGTCTGGCTCGAATCACTTCCACCAGGAGCCCCGCAGAGGCATGCCGTGTGCCCCATTCGAACGGCCTCGTCGAGACGAATCCGCAGATACCACATATATGTATGTTTCTGTTCATCGACCAACACCCTCTCTATATTCCCCATATAGGTCCCTTGGAGAAAGTGGTTTGACCTCGCCTTTTTGGGACGCAGCGTGAGGATTTTTTCGTCAGCCCGGGAGTCCCGGGCTGAATTTCCAAACCGCCCTAGAACCGGCCCCCGGTGTTGGATCGACACGCCCGAGGTGTCCACGGACTCGTCTCAACCTGGGCTACCGTCCCTGAAAATCCCAGCCCCCTGGAATAAGAGACGGGAAAGTTATAGCCGTTTTGGGGACGCAGAGTGAGGGTTATTTTTCGTCAGCCCGGGAGCCCCGGGCTGAATTTTCAAACCACTCTAGAACCGGCCCCCGGTGTCGGACCGACACGCTCGAGGTGTCCACGGACTCGTCTCGACCTGGGCTACGACCCCTGTGAGTTTCACGCACGGGGGACAAGAGACGGGAATGTTACGTCGGTCTGAAATCAGCGGGGGACAGCGCGGCCGCGTCCGCTATTCTCGGTCAAGAAAAGGGGGGATTCCCGGGCCCGTAGAAGGCGAACCAGGGGGGTAGAGACATGGGGCTTGGACCCACGGACTCGTCCGGACCTGGTCTACATCCTCCGTGAATTTCACTCATGGGAAATGAAAGACAAAAAAGTGACGGCCTGCGTAAAAGGGACTTGAGCTCACAAGACACTTAGTCATTTTTTCTCAAAAGCGTGCGTCTGGGACTACAGAATCTTCAGAAATTGGTTAAAAATCAACGCAGAGGCCCAAAGACTCGTGGTCTGGACCCAGGGACTCGTCTCAACCTGGGCTACCACCGGGGCGGGCTTTGCTCCCGCTCAGATCCGGGCCTGGGCGCTCATTCCCGGGGGGAGGAAGCTCCAATTTCCGGGCTCCTCAAAGCCGAGCCAGGGGGGCTACAGACACGGGGGTGGGACCCGGGGACTCCCCTGGTCCCGGGGTACCCGCGGTGTGAATTTGACGCGCGGGGGACAAAGGACCAGAAAGTTATGGCCCTTGGAAACCACCGGGGGACCGCGCGTCTGCCATCCGCCCAAGAGCGCTCATTCTGGGGGAGGAGAACCTCGGCTTCCAGGGCTCGTAGAAAACGAACCATAAGGGCTAGAGACACGGGGTTTTCACCCACGCACTCCTCCGGTCCTGGGCTACCACCGGGGCGGGCTTTGCTACCGCTCAGATCCGGGCCTGGGCGCTCATTCCCGGGGGAAGAAAGCCCCGCTTTCCGGGCTCCTCAAAGCCGAGCCAGGGGGGCTACAGACACGGGGGTGGGACCCGGGGACTCCCCTGGTCCCGGGCTACCCGCGGTGTGAATTTGACGCGCGGGGGACAAAGGACCAGAAAGTTATGGCCCTTGGAAACCACCGGGGGACCGCGCGTCTGCCATCCGCCCAAGAGCGCTCATTCTGGGGGAGGAGAACCTCGGCTTCCAGGGCTCGTAGAAAACGAACCATAAGGGCTAGAGACACGGGGTTTTCACCCACGCACTCCTCCGGTCCTGGGCTACCACCGGGGCGGGCTTTGCTACCGCTCAGATCCGGGCCTGGGCGCTCATTCCCGGGGGAAGAAAGCCCCGCTTTCCGGGCTCCTCAAAGCCGAGCCAGGGGGGCTACAGACACGGGGGTGGGACCCGGGGACTCCCCTGGTCCCGGGCTACCCGCGGTGTGAATTTGACGCGCGGGGGACAAAGGACCAGAAAGTTATGGACCTTGGAAACCACCGGGGGACCATGGGGGTTAAGGTTAGGTGTGGGGAAGGCCTGAACCTCCAGGGGGGCTATGTGCAGGCGTGGGGAAGGCCTGGATCTCCATGGGGGTTAAGGTTAGGTGTGGGGAAGGCCTGGTTCTCCAGGGGGGCTATGTGCAGGTGTGGAGGCGGCCTGGATCTCCATGGGGGTTAAGGTTAGGTGTGGGGAAGGCCTGGATCTCCATGGGGGTTAAGGTTAGGTGTGGGGAAGGCCTGGACCTCCAGGGGGGCTATGTGCAGGCGTGGGGGCGGCTTGGATCTCCGTGGGGGTTAAGGTTAGGTGTGGGGAAGCCCAGGACCTCCAGGGGGGCTATGTGCAGGCGTGGGGGCGGCCTGGATCTCCGTGGGGGTTAAGGTTAGGTGTGGGGAAGCCCAGGACCTCCATGGGGGATATGTGCAGGCGTGGGGGTGGCCTGGATCTCCAGGGGGGCTCTGTGCAGGCTGCTGCCCGACCACGGCAACCCACACCCCCGCAGGCGCACCTCCAGGGACCGCCGGGGCCGGGGAAGACCTGTGCACCAGTCGGAACCGGGTACCCACTATTAAGCCCCCCCTCGGACTGCACACCCTTAAGCGCTGCTGGAAAAACCAGGCGTGCCTGGGACTACAAACAGAACAAAACGTGCCTAGTACTACAAGCTAGACACTTAGGTTTTTTTCTCAAAACACTTAGTCTGATTTTCAACGTGTGCCTGGTCCTACAGCCTAAACACTTAGGTTTTTTCTCAAAACACTTAGTCTGATTTCCGAGGACCCCGCCACTTCAGGAGCTGCCCTTGGCTCTATTTAAGCCCGGGTTCTTGCTCTTTCGCGGTGAGACCCGTGGTATGTACCCCCTGGAACGCCGGTTAGACAGTGTGGTTCTCCCATCCCTATACAAGCGTAATTTTAACCCGGGCCCTCTCGGGAAGTCATTTATTTCTGCACACCCACACATACACGTTTTTGTTACCTGGTGGGTCCCTTTGACAGGGCCGTTCAGAATGGGACCCATAGACATAATCTTTTTTTACTGGGACTACTTTAAGTAATACAAAACAGTCAATAGAAAACAAACAACTCTTTTAAAGGAATTTTATTTTAGATTTTTTTTTCGAATTGCAGTGATTCTATTTTTGACATAGAATTTAATGCCACTCCATGTCCGATGTCTAAGGTCATCTGGTGAGGCATTAATGCAGGCCAGGCAGTGAGACTTCCCAGGGACTTTTCCAGTCTGTATGAAAGGCGTCATGGTCTTCTCCACAGCCTTCACCTCAGATGCAGACCATGGCTTTCTTACACGTTCTAGGGAGAGAAATAAAAATATATTAGCAATATACACTCCCAGGGTTAGGACCAAGCAGCCTGGCTGTAATCCCCCACCTGGTACACTTACCAGAAGGGGCACTGCCACTACCATGGGGTGCATCTGGATGAATGGTTGAAGGTTCTCCGCTTGAAGTTTCTTTTAGCCCGTCCGTTTGTGAGAGGATCTCTACTGCTCTCCCTGTCGCACAGAAATAAAAATACAAGTGGCCTTTAGGGGAAAAAAAATCATACATATTTTAATAATATCAAGAATTACCTTCAGGCTCAATTTGTATCTGGTCGAGGCTCTTTCCTTCGAATTCCGTCACTCTTCCCTGCTCCATGGCCATGAACACTTTGCTGATTTTGGCCAGCTCCAGTGTCCCCTCTGGTAGTCTGTAATATTGTCTGTGGATGCGAATGTCATGGCCGAGGAAGTTGGCTAGTATGTCCATTTCATTCTCTTTCATATTGAGAACTGTAGACATAGTAGCTATGTGCTTTCTAAGTTTGGTTGAGGATAGCATCTCTGGATGCACCGCACCACATTCTTTGGCTACCTGCCGTAGGGAGTCTGATCCCCTGATGTGGGTGTCTGCGCCCGGGCGGGAGAAGAAGTATGGGTTATGGTCAGAGATGGAACAGGCCCTTCTGTTCACCACCAGCACCTCCATCGAAGCAATCATTTCAGGAGTCAAAAGAACCGGCACTTTCCGACTTCTTTTCCCTTTAATTTCAATGCGTTGAAAATGCTGACACAGCTTTTTCTCAAGTTCGGACAGTCCCAGAGCAATGTCAGAATGGATCCCAGTCTTACTTCTTAAGGTAAACGCTGTCAGTGGCATCTTTGAAACCTCACCTTCCCTTCTTCGATTGAAAGCAATGACCTCACAAAGAGTCAAAACTGCCAGTTTAGACCAATGCTTAGACGTTGGCTCACTTATTAGGGTTTGCACATATTCAGGTCGACATACCTCAATATGTGCATGCATGGCTCTAACGTCCTCAGTCAGAGGGAGCAGGTCCGGAGTGTTCCACTTGGCTTGCCGGAGGGTCTGTAGGGCAGCAGAAGAAACACAGACGTCCCACCTCTTCTCAAAAAGCAGCCGGCTTCGTTGGAGGTTTTTAATAAATAGTTCATCAACACAATGCTCCATTTTTGAGTCACATTCAAGAATATCTGCTAGCTTTCTGAGGCTATGGCCGAGTTTGAGGGCCAAGGATGGAGTCTTGTATTGATTTGTTTCCTCATCATATCCAGCCACAGACCTGACTGCATCAATCACATGGTTAAAGTTGGAAGGAATAAAGAAATCCTTAATTGTTTTCAGTTTCCCTGCGATTTTTGCTTCGTTAATTAACCTACCGACTTCTCTCATTTTCTGCCTAATGTAATCATGCTTAGTCTTATCATGCCCGTGTTTTAAGTACAGGTGCTCTCCGAGTCTCAGAATCCCCTTTTCTGCTTTGACAACACCCGTGACCTCATCCTGATGCATTGCCCAAATTAAAGACCACAGCTTTTTGCTGATGCCCTCCGGTACAGGCTGGGCTAGGGAGCAGAGGGACTGGACCCTACTTCTACCTGGTTTAGCCTGGG